GGTCAGTGAAAAATAAGAGACACTCGAAATATTGTTAAATGAGGAAAACCCGTGTGAACCACGTGCTCGGTTTCCGAAGCTATTAAAGATGGCAGAAGTTATAAAGGTAAGCCAGATATACAGTTCAATGTTTGTCCATTTTCGCATTAGGCAGTTGTCTAACTACATATTTCGATAGATTGCTAGTTGCCGTTAGCTACCAGTTAGTTAAATCGATCAACACTTTCTCATCGTACAGAATTTTAAAAGCGCAATGCACGCAATGTTTGCAATCCACCTTGCTCGAAAGTCCCCTTGTTGATTGAAATGACACTTCAATGTGCTCTATTCCGATTTTTTTCTGGCTAGCAAAGATATTATAAGAGACAGTTTAACATTATTTTGCTTTACGGAATAAAAAAGCACACTCTGATAGGACTTATGAAGTTTAATAAACTCGATCTCTGCTTTAAGATTACTGACGAACAGCTTATACTTATCCGCTCTGGAATACAAGTTTCAACAACGGTGTCTTTGCGAAATTTCTTGTCATATGCGTTTTGTGTTTGGGGAATCTCCAAACAGCCGTGCTTTAATTATTTATAAATCATGATTATTGTATTTATTTAAAAGATTATGTATTCACTTCCAATTTATTTTCAACCGCCTAGATCTAGATTCGTCCACCGCGTGGCAAGAAAAATTTGCGGGAATTTATTTTGCGGATTGGCAATTTTTGGTGTTTTGCGGGAACTACTTTTTGCGATTAGGACAGATTGGTTTTCCTGCTGGGATGTTAGTCAGAAAGTACCCAGTTCCCAGCGTTGATAATGTTTTCGTTTTTGTTAACTACTTGCAATATAAATATACATTTTCAAGTAATTCATTGTACACCGTTTTGTCTCTGAATGAAAGAGGCAAATTGTATAGAATATTTACTCTGCAGTAAACTTTTGCGGGAAAATGTTTGACGCAATTTTTGTGGCTCAGACGATTCCAAGCGTGCCCATCCCCCCCATCCGGGCATTTGTCGGGCATTTGTCATCTTGTCGGTTTCCCGGCGGTGGGAAATTTGTCACAAAACTTCTGCCCGGGGGTAGGGCATTTGTCAATTCTTCTCGAAGCGCTTAACGTTGTTCCTTTTTCAATATTTCACTTAAAGATATGTCCATTTAGATAGCTTTAGAATAATTATACTTTAAAGAGGTATGTGTGGTTTTCCCACAGTACTTTTTGCATCCGTCTAGGAAATTGCTTCCCGCATCGTGATCAGTTCGCACATGAAGTAAAAACAATAAAAAGAGTTGAAAGGAAAAGGCACTTTCTTTTTTCGTAAAGGCATAGAAAAACTTTGCGACACATTTGAAAGCCATAAATATAAACTTCGTGTATTGTATTATCAATGGACCATTAATACACTAACGAAACGGTTCCATCGTTTGTTTAACATCGTTATGCGAAAATACCCATGATAAGCTCATTGGTTGTTTGTTTATCATTCACTATATTTTAAATCGTCTTCGAAAATAAGAAAGGTGTTATTTAAAAAATCCTAGTTTATAGTTCTGTCATTGATATTAATCAGATGGATATGATCTCTTTTTTGTAATAATTATAACTTGAGGCTATGGGCGACGATTTTCGTAGGGCGCTTTAAGCTTTTTCATCAGCTTTTTAGAGATTTCCCATAAGTTTGGCATTTGCAGCTTATTTGCGTTTGCACCCTATTTTTAAGTCCCACCGTGGGGCATCAAACAACATTCAAAGAGCAGTAATCGGAAGAGGTCCTTTCCAGTTGGCTTCAGAGTTTTCACACTTTGAATGCAGTGAGGAAAGGTGGAGGACAATAACACCCGAGGAACGTAGAAAGCACCTTGCGCAATTCGATCCATTTATGAGGTTTGACAAGATCTGCACAAGTGAGGTCATCCTTCCCATGCCCAGTGGCGTAATAAAAGAATGTCCTCAATCCTTCCAAAAGGATGATGAAATATTTATCTCCTATTCGAATAATGATGGGGGATTTATCGACCACCAAGATGTGCAAGTTTTGACCATGGAGACAAGTATTAGAGAGGCAAAGCAAGTTTCAGGAACTGGGGCTCAAGGATCAAGCCGTAATCTAACACCTCCATCTTCCGCGACATGTACCTGATCGTCAACCGTATCTACGGCATCTACTTACGAGAGCAGTGAACTTTTCTCTTTTATAGGAAACTTTGAAGACTCGGGACCTACTGATTGCATGAAAGGCTCCTGGGCTAATGCACAAACCATAATAAATAAAAATGGAGTGGGAAGGTTTCCAGGCTTACCATCAAAACTAGAGGTAATTTCGCTCTCTCAAGGGGATACGTGCCACGTAGTGTCCACTTCTCGATCTCACGTCATCCAGTGTGACGAGAAATGCTCCAAATACAAGATGCACAAATTATGTGCCCACACTATCGCTGTTGCGCTCGAGAGTGGACTTCTGTATGATGTTTGCAGAAACTAAAAACAAAGTATTTCCTTTATGGTCCAGTCTTTGATTCCAGCCCGAGTCGGCAAAAAGGAAAACGAGAGAAGAGCCCGAAAGAGAAAATCAAATGAACAGTATGGTAGCCGCCATGTTAGTGGTTTTAATAACAGGATAGAAGTAACTGTCGATGACACCTCTCTGACAGAGGGATATGAAGTTGTTTTTATCCAAGAAACATCTGCGCTCGGTTGCTATGGTTGCAAATGCAGAATTTGGCAGAAGGCTTCTGATCTTGTACCTGGCGAACCATATGATATTTTTTTAAGAAGCAAGGAATGCAGGGCGTTTAGAAGAAGAGGCAGTACTTCCACTGCAGTGTCCATTTCAAAAGACCCAGAATATGTCTACTATCATCCGTTGAAGTCATGTGTCCCAGGAAAGAATATTAGGCAAGAGATTTGAGCTGAAGCGTCGACGAAAAGTAACTTAAGTAAAAAACATAAAGAACTCATCTGGAGAGAGTTTGGTCTTCACGTTTAGAGAGCACACTGCTATTTGCTGGCGCTATCAAGTTGAGGTATGACTGAATTGTATTTTAGAGTTTTCCCACTAGCTACAGTATTGCTAACGCGCCAGTCATTCTATCAGCACTGAATTTCTGCGTGGAAAATCCGAAAAAGAATATGAAATCTATGAAATGTCTAAAACACGATGATATTCTTTGCAACCGTTGCTAGCGATATTTTACTAAAGGCTGGAATGAAGTGTTGAACTGGAATGTTGGGTTAGTTTGAATATTCTTGCATCCTGGAGAACGAGAAATTTTTTGTAATTAAATAAAAACTTTTAAAGTCCTTTCCAATATTTTATTACAGTATGACAAAGGTGGAGCAAATGATATCTAGGTTTGAACATATATGGGCGTTACTTGAAGTGTTTAATAATATAGAGTAGTTCACCTTAACAGGACTCAATCCTTTTCTTTTTGCCAATGTTAACGTCTTTTCTACCATGTTAAGGCATAACCCAGAGCCTAACTTGCGTTAGTCAATAAATGCTGCGTCATGATGTTTTGCACTCACAATTGACCCATCCTTCAACCATTTAATATTTGTCTCCTTTTTTTCAACTATGACGTCGTCATACACCTGACCACATGTTATTAACCTTAAAGAATTAAGAGCTTGTGCTGATACCTGTTTTATGCTCTACGTAATCCTTCACTTGAAGAGTGAAAGAATATTGCCACTATTAGATAGGATAAATCGTTTTCTTTGAACGGGGTCTGAGATTTCAGGACGTGTCATGCCTTAACATACTTCAGTGATAATGATCACAAGCATAACTGAAAAAGTCATGTTACAGCCACAGAGTTGCAGAAGATGGAACATTCCGAACTGATCCAGAATTTATTCACTCGAAGCAGTTACTGGGTATGACAGATGGAATGAAAATCACTCTTTAACTGCACGATAACATAGCATCCTTGTTACTAGTGAAGTACTTAACTTTGAGGTTAATTAATTCTTAAAGTTTGTTAGAAAGAAACCTTTCGTTTACGTTCTAATGATATATTTAACTAAGACGTTACTGTTCGAATAAAAGTGTTAGGTTTTTTAAAGAAAAATATGCGTCATAGCTCATTCATCAAGTCTCAAAAATTTTGACTTGTCATGTAATAAATCACTTATTATACTAAATCTGCGTCAAGAAACCTCAGTAAACAAACTGTTTAAAGGTTTTTTCAAAAAGACCCAGCGTCATCTAAAAGAGACCACTGAGCAATTGCAGTCATGTTTGTGAGCAGAGCGTCAGAGAAGAATGAGACAATAAACATTTTTGCTTGCCGTTATCTGTTTCTTCTCCCTTAAATTATCCGTATATAATTGTGAAGTCATTTGTGATGGCCGTTCACACCTAAACATTCCTTTCGATCGCGCCTTTCGCTCACCGTTTCTCGAGCGCCATTACTTGGAAACACAGCGACCGGTGAATAAAGAGCTCAAGGACTCACAAGTTACCTTAGTGTATTAGTATTAGTATTTCTGGCTCGCAAGCGATATATTCGGTGGTCATGTGTTTGAATATAATGACCCTCAAACAGTGACTCTGGATCTTTAAGTAATGTTTAAAAAAACGAGCATGAGTGTATTATCAGGCTTAAAAACTCGAGACAAAGCCAAAATTTTTTAAACCTGATATTACGCGACCGCGAATTTTTTTTATCTAATTCAAAATCTATCATATTGATCAACTCATTCTTGCCCTAATATTAAGGTCTGGGGTTATTTTAGTCTAAGTTAGACGTAAAGTTTAGCTGTGTCTTTATCAGATATAAAGACATTCATTAAACATTCATTTTTTCTTTATGACTTAATAATATGTTTTTCAAACGTACGTTCCAATGGATTGTTTACAAACTAGACCCCTCAGCTCTCTAATTGACCTGTGACCTGCAAAAAAAAACCTGCCGTGACTGACGAGCTGAGGTATTGTCTCCTAATTCTTGTTGTCTACACCCAACGTTAATATAGCTGGCACCTGTGTTTGGATGCTTTTCTCAAAGTGTTTTACGGCGTATTTCAAGTGCTCGCTGGTGTGACTGAAGAGCTGAGGTATAGTCTCCTAATTCTTTTTGTGTACACCCAATGTTACTATAGCTGGCAGCTGTGTCTGGATGGTTTTCCCCAAGTGTTTTACGGCATATTTCAATCGCTCGCTAGTGTGACTGAAGAGCTGAAGTATAGTCTCCTCATTCTTGTTGTATACGCCGAATGTTATTAAAAGTGGCAGCTCTGCCTGATGGTTTTCCCCAAGTGTTTTACGGCATATTTCAAGTGCTCGCTGGTGTGACTGAAGGGCTTAAGTATAGTCTTCCAATGCTTTTTGTGTACACTCAATGTTCTTATAGCTGGCAGCTGTGTCTTACGGCGTATTTCAAGTGCTCGCTGATGTGACTGAAGGGCTGAAGGATAGTCTCGTAATGCTTTCTGTGCACACCCAATGTTATTATAGCTGGCAGCTGTGTCTGGATGGTTTTCCCCAAGTGTTTTACGGCATATTTCAAGTGCTCGGTGGTGTGACTGAAGAGCTGAAGTATAGTCTCCACATTCTCGTTGTGTACACCCAATGTTATGATAAGTGGCAGCTGTGCCTGGATGGTTTTCCCCACGTGTTTTACGGCGTATTTCAAGTGCTCGCTGGTGTGACTGAAGGGCTGAAGCATAGTCTCGTAATGCTTTTTGTGTAGACCCAATGTTATTATAGCTGGCAGCTGTGTCTGGATGGTTTTCCCCAAGTGTTGTACGGCGTATTTCTAATGCTCGCTTGTGAGACTGAAGAGCTGAAGTATAGTCTCCTAATTCTTGCTGTGTACACCCAATGTTATGACACACGTCAGCTGTGTCTGGATGGGTTTCCCCTCGTGTTCTACGGTGTATTTCAAGAGCTCGCTGGAATAAATGAAGAGCTGAAGTAAAGTCTCCTAATGCTTTTTGTGTACACCCAATGTTGTTATAGCTGCCAGCTGTGTTTGGATGGTTTTCCCCAAGTGTTTTACGGCATATTTCAAGTGCTCGATGGTGTAACTGAAGAGCTGACGCATGGTCTCCAAATTCTAGTTGTATACACCCAATGTTATAATAAGTGGCAGCTGTGCCTGGATGGTTTTCCCCACGTGTTTTACGGCATATTTCAAGTGCTCGCTGATGTGACTGAAGGGCTGAAGTATAGTCTCGTAATGCTTTTTGTGTACACCCAATGTTATTATAGCTGGCGGCTGTGTCTGGATGGTTTTCCCCAAGTGTTTTACGGCGTATTTCAATTGCTCGCTTGTGAGACTGAAGAGCTGAAGTATAGTCTCCTAATTCTTGTTGTGTACATCCAATGTTATTGTAAGTGGCAGCTGTGTCTGGATGGTTTTCCCCACGTGTTTTACGGTGTATTTCAAGTGCTCGCTGGTGTGACTGAAGAGCTGAAATATAGTCTCCTAATGCTTTGTGTGTACACCCAATGGTATTATAGCTGGCAGCTGTGCCTGGATGGTTTTCCCCACGTGTTTTACGGCATATTTCAAGTGCTCGCTGGTTTGACTGAAGGGCTGAAGTATAGTCTCCTAATGCTGTTTGGGTACACCCAATGTTATTATAGCTGACAGCTGTGTCTGGGTGGTTTTCCCCAAGTGTTTTGCGGCATATTTCAAGTGCTCGCTTGTGAGACTGAAGAGCTGAAGTATAGTCTCCTAATTCTTGTTGTGCACACCCGATGTTATTGTAATTGGTAGCTGTGTCAGTATCGTTTTCCCCAAGTGTTTTACGGCGTATTTCAAGTGCTCGCTGGTATGACTGAAGGGCTGTAGTATAGTATCCTAATACTTGTTGTATACACCCAATGTTATTATAGCTGGCAGCTGCGTCTGGATGGTTTTCCCCAAGGGTTTTACGGCGTATTTCAATTGCTCGTTGGTATGACTGAAGGGCTGAAGTATAGTCTCGTAATGCTTGTTGTGTACACCCAACGTTATAATAGCTGGCAGCTGTGTCTGGATGGTTTTCCCCAAGTGTTTTACGGCATATTTCAAGTGCTCGCTGGTGTGACTGAAAGGCTGACGTATAATCGCCCAATTCTTGTTGTCTACACCCAATGTTATTATAGCTGACAGCTGTGCCTTGATGGTTTTCCCCACGTGTTTTACGGCATATTTCAAGTGCTCGCTGGTGTGACTGAAGAGCTGAAGTATAGTCTCCTAATTTTTGTAGTGTACGCCCACTGGTATTATAGCTGTCAGCTGTGTCCGGATGGTTTTCCCCAAGTGTTTTACGGCGTATTTCAAGTGCTCGCTGGAATGACTGAAGAGCTGAAGTATAGTCTCCTAATGCTTTTTGTGTGCACCCAATGTTATTATAGCTGGCAGCTGGGTCTGGATGGTTTTCCCCAAGTGAATTACGGCGTATTTCAAGTGCTCGTTGGTGTGACTGAAGAGCTGAAGTATAGTCTCCTAATTCTTGTTGTGTGCACCCAATGTTATTATAGCTGGCAGCTGTGTCTGGATGGTTTTCCCCGAGTGTTTTACAGCGTATTTCAAGTGCTCGCTGGTGTGACTGAAGGGCTGACGTATAGTCCATCATTTTATACTGTGCATTTCCCACTGAAAAGTAGCTGGACGCTAGATCTTGACGATCTTCGTGCTCTTCACTGAGCAGCTTCTTTCTTAAATTAAGTGCTTGCTGATGCAAATGCAGAGCGGTAACAAAGTGGTCTGCATTGATCTCTTTGTTCCCAAAGTCATAATACCAAGTCGCTTTCTGTAAAAGTTGCTTTTTTAAGCTGCCTAGAGGTTCACTTACTAAATTTGTGTGTATCTCAACACTGGGAGAATACTTATGAATAATGGCTGATACATGATCGTAAAGCTTAAGAGGCGATTTGTAATTTTGCGATAGTAAATACTTTAATTGCCTTTCGTAGGGAACGTCCAGCAACTCTTGGTCCTTTTTTGCCATCATCTCCTTTCTCATTTGAAAGGCATTCATAATTGAATTGAAAGCAGACGAAAATTCGTCAAATTTCATCAGGGCGCTGTCTGTAGTGAGGTAACTGTCACTTTCATTGTGCTCCGTGTTAACGCATTTCATCCAGATGTCTTCAGCTCTTTTAAGCAACTGAAGAGACAATTTAAATCTTCGACGTTTGCTCTGCACCAGACAGAGCTGAAACAGACTGTCGCCAACTGTTGCGTCCTCTTCACCCATTTTAAGCGTTCGGATTCCAGTAGCAAACCGGTGCATTACAAAAGCTGACGTGTAGTCTTCTTTGCGATAAAAGGTTCTTCCCAGCTCATAAAAGATGTCCGCTTTTTCAATTTGTTGTTCTTGCTGTAGGTCTCTTCTAACGGAGAGTGCAAAGTTAAGTGATTCAACAGCTTGGTCAAAGTATCCCATCTGATATTGCGTGCGTCCTAACTGGTAGAAGCTTTGAGCGATCTCCGCATGCGGTGTGTCTGTATACAGTACTTGCCTCATTTTCAGCGCTCGCGTGAGATACTCAAGTGCAGAGGGATACCACCCCATTTCAAATTGCGTGACACCAATTTCATAGCAACTGTTGGCAGTGTCAGTGTTACGCTCACCTAGGACATCTAATCTGATACTAAATGCATCCAGATGTGACTGTAGAGCCGTTTGGTAGTCTCCCAGACAGAAGTATGTCTTTCCTATCTCATGGAGGCTGTCTGCCGTTGCACTGGGATTTTCTCCTATCTCATCTTGTATAATCGTTAGTGCTTTCCCGTGTGAGTCAAGTGCGCACTCGTATTTCTCCAAAAACCACTGCGTAATTCCTAACTCATGAAAACTTTTTGCAGTGTCTCTGTGCTTATCACCCAACTTCTCCAATCTGATTTGAAGTGCCTTTTCATGAGACTGCAACGCTGAGGAATAGTCTTTCATTTCCCATTGTGTAAACCCTAACTCATGATAGCTAGCAGCCACTTTTAAGGGGTTTTCTTCAACAAGAATTAACCGAATGTCAAGTGCACGCTGGTGAAAGAGCAAAGCTGAATTACAATCTCCTAGGGACCTCATGATGTTCGCAAGTTCATGATAACTGTCGGCTGTGTCTGAATGTTCCTCGCCACATAGGTCTATTGTATAGTCCAGAGCGCGCCTCCCTGACTTAACGCTTGCCTTGTAATCTTTCATTCGTAGATGAAGAACAGCGAGGTACGAGTAGCTTCTCGCCAATGCTCTCTTGTGGTCATCCTTACTACTCTCTTGGTCCACGGAATTTACTTCACGGACTAAAAGCCGGCTTAGCACCCTTTCCCGAACACCGATTAAATTCTGGATTAATTTGATTGCTTCTTCGTAACTGGTCATCTCCGCAAGTACACCAGCGATAAACCGCTGGAGATAAAATGAACCATCTTTGGTATTTGAAAGGAGGTTTGCGTCACTATTTTCTTTCATCTGGAGAACATCCTCTTTAAAGGATTTCATTCGTTCAGCTGACGAGAAAAGCTTGGTTGCCTTAGTAATAAGGAAATGTACCTCCAACACCAGCGGCAGATCTTGTTGATCGGTGATTCTTTTCTCTTCTGGGCTAAGAATAAGGTCACAGTTCTTCCAAGCTCTACATTCGTCTATTGCCTTTTCGAAATATTTGGTAGCCTCAATTTCATTGATTGTTGATTCAAAATATGTGGCAACAATCTGACACATAATGATCTTTAAGATCTTCAGAGTAGGGTCAGTTGCGTCCATTAAATGCGCGAGAGACTCTTTCAGATATTGCACACCATCATTCATCTGTCCATTTGAGAGCTTGTGGATCCCAAGACAGCAAAACAATTTTCCTTTCTGTTCACCTGAACTGCAGGCCAGAACTTCGTTTGCTTTAGAAGAAAGCAGCCACAATGTTTCACCTTCATCTGATCGCCAAGTTACTTCACTGAATCCCTTCGCAAGCAACAAGTGATTGTAGGTGGTCATATCATCATGCTTTGCTGCCTCAGTTAACGCTGTATCATAGATTTTGTCAAAGAGAACTCGATCGCTCCACAAAACTGTGTCCATAAGCAACATTCCCTGAATCAAGACCTCAAAAACACTGTCGCACGTTGAATTGTCAGAGCAGCCGTCAATTAGACTTAAGATGATATTCTGTTTGTCTTGATGAAAATCCGTGAAAGCTGACATGGACTGCCCTGAAACAAAGCGTTCGCTAAGCTTTCCAAAAAGTGAAATGTAGAATTCCAGTAAGCGGGTTTTTGACCTATGAAGAACATCCTTCATTTGCTGTTCTCCCTTTTGCTTTGCAAACAGGCAAAGAATTTTGTGAAGCTTGAAGGATCCTGTTTCCGAGTAGGAATCTATGTATGATTTTCTCATTAAACTTTTCAGGATCGGTTCAGCATCATCCACTGATATTTCCCATACAGCCGCAGCAACTTCCACAGGAAAATTGCCAGGAATAACGGACAAGGATACGTAGTGTTCTTGGTTTTGCGGTGACAATGTCTGGTATGATGATTCCAAGATGAAATTCAGTCTGTCATGTTTTAACTCATCTCGATCATCCATTCTAGAAACATCAAGTTCAATCAAACGGATAAAGTTGTCTATGGCTTGTTTCAAGGGCAACCTTTTCTTTTGGGGCATATTGTTGCAAAATAACCGAATGGCAAAAGGCATATGTCCACAAAAATGTGCGATATTCCTACAGTCTTCATCGGAAGGACAACAGTTTTCAACAGAAAGCCATCTCCGCACTAGTGTCTCAGAAGATTCGTGATCTAATGATGCTACACTTAGCACCTTTATGCCCAGCGATTTCAACTTTGAAAACTCCAAACATTCCCTTGTAGTAACAAGAACTGTAAGAGTTTCACAGCTTTTCAAAATTTGTTCAATTAAGCAAATAAAACGATCTCGTAACTCTGACTGTAATAAACAATCGGCGTTATCAAGAATAAAATACGGTGCCACAGATTCTTCAATTTTACTAAGCTGGTTTAAAAGGAAATCCCACGTCCAGTTTAATTGTTTAGGTAACGGATCGACAAAAAAGCGGCGAATCGCTGATATTAAGTTTTCCTCTGTGTCAATGTCGGTAAGGTCGATGTAATAAGCCGCATTTTCTTGGGATTTGAGAGTTTGCCCCACTGCTTTTGAAACTTCAGATTTGCCAGATCCTGGTGGGCCATACACGGAGACAATACGAGTTGACCCAGACTTCAAGTGGCTTACAATCTCCTCGATCTCTTGGTGTCGGCCAATAAAGTTTTCACCAGTTGAAGGTAGCTTAGGCTTACCTTATGAAAAACAAAATATTGATTTAGCGCGGAGCCGGTACAAGTTTAAAAAATAAGAACCGTGTTTTAGTACTTTTTATGACTTTTTTTAGAGACCTTGATATTAGTGATCAAGGTTAATCCAGTGAAATAAACATTCATACATTCATATATGACCTGGGAACTAAAAATATTTTCAATATGAGGTTATTTTTCATTCCCCATTGAATCCTACTATCAGACGCTGTTGAAGAAAATGAAACGCGGAAGAAATTAAGGCCTTCAGGGGAAAGAGATTTGAACCCACGATCGGATGTAACGCTCTGTGAAACGGAACAAATCAAGCCGGCTAAAGGTAGTTAAAGTTGGATAGAGGTTTGTGCCCGGTCATCGTAAACCTATTCGCGAGGCCTAGCTAGGAATTTTTTAGGATATTTTATTTTCCTTTCTTTTAGGATAGACTTTCTTTTCTTTTAGGATAGTCTGTGGAAATTGTACACAGCTAAAAGTCTCACAAAAAGTCAAAGGCTGTATTCACTGTTAATACAGCTGAACCTTCATTAAACGGCCACCCTCTGCGGGGGACAACTGGAGAGCCAAGGATCCTACGGGATCTCAAATCGTCTTCTGCACAGATATTCTCCAAAAATTGACGTTGGGTGCCCCTGATGATATAACACGTCCGCATGTAAAGGGGAACTTTAATTTTCCGCTGCTGTATCTCTTCTCACCTACCCAGACCAATGACGCCACAAGTCAGTTTCATCATGAAACACCTAGTACCCTTTTTACTCTCTTGTAGTAAAACATTACTTTTCACAAAGTGGTATGATACGTAAAAAAAAAATAAAGACAAGGGGAGACTTACCTAGATTTGTACGCTTTAATAAGTCCGCACTCTTTCTCTCTAACTCGTCCTCGCGGTTCCTTTTTTCCTCATTTGCTGCTTGAAGTGATTCTGTTGATAGGGTAAAAAAGTTAACCCGAGGAAAGAAAATTAAGATTATATAGAGAAACCCACAGAGGTATTTAGGCACAATCTGAAGCATTCACTGCGGGAAACAAATTCATTTCAAGCGGTATACTTAGCCCTGAGTATATGTTTTGACCGGGAGTGGGCGTTCTGAGAGGAAGTTCTGCCCCCCTCCCCCCCCCCCCAAAACAAAACCCCCACCCCAGGTAAACCAGGGGAGGGGCGCCCCCCCCAAGGAGGAAGTTATGTTAAAGCGGGGTTGAACGATTTTTTTTATTCGATAACCTGATGGGAAGAAATAAAAGAATACCAAAGCAATTTGTAGGAAAAACTACTTAACACATAAAAAAAATGAAAGACATCAAGAGAAACCCACAGAGGTATTTAGGCACAATCTGAAGCATCCACTGCGGGAAACAAATTCATTTCAAGGGGTATTCTTAGCCCTGAGTATATGTTTTGACCCGGGGTGGGCGTTCTGAGAGGAAGTTCTGCCCCCCTCCCCCCCCCCCCAAAAAAAACCCCTAACCGCATGTACACGAGGGGAAGGGCTCTCTCTTCAAGGAAGGAGTTATAGTTAAGCCTGGTTAAACGTTTTGTTGTAATCGCTACAATCGAGGGAAAAAGTTAAACGATACCGAAGCGATTTTATGGAAACAACTCTTTCACGAATGTCGATTTGCTCGATAGCAGCGATTGTTGCAACAACTACTGCAGATTTAGACTTCAGGTGATTTTTGAGACGGGTTTTCCTTATTTAAGTTTGTAACACTCGTTATGGTCGCTGTCCTTGTTTTAGCGATCGTAGCCATCAACCAAGCTTAACAGATGTCAAAGATGTCATATCTTCATGTCACAAGCGAGGGACAAGGGAAAATCTTATAGGTCCTTTTTGGGAATAGAACCGTTAAGACCAGGATCATATCACAAGACCTACGGGAAAATTAAATTATTGCTTTATTTAAATATTAATTAGTGAGGCTGAGTATGTTATGAAGAATTATGTTGATCGAGGAGGGTGTTGTCCGTCAAGGCCGTCGGCCGAGGCGGATAACACCTTCCGAGATCTCCATAATTCTTCATATAATACGAAAGCCGAATTCAATTAATTGTTTTATTACTCATTCAAAATAATTCCTAGGTTAAAAACATAGCTAAAACATGCTTACCTCCATCGATGTTAAGTTCATCTTCGATAGTGCACGTTTAGAGTTGTTCAGCTCCGCAAATATTCTCCAAATAACAGATGTCACCATTCGAGTTGTCTTCTTGCTGTTCTTGCCATGCTTTTAGCTATTATTTCGCCTACTTCTTACTCTTGAAACGAGTGAAATGTCCGCCACTTTTGTTTTCACAACCAAAACAACTCAACCCCGTCCCCAGGTCGTCTCGGTTAACGGTGCATTGACCTGCAAGGAAGCTGCACTTTTGACGTCATCGGTTGATTAATCGCAAAATTCTTCCAAATTTGGTCATCAGTAGCTGATTATGGTGAATTCTGCGTGTGCTTTTAGCTAATCAGAAGCGGGGAAATATTTTGAATGAATAATAACTAGCGTTAAAGACTTTCTGCCCAACTACCTACCTTCATATTTGCTTTCCAAACCAGCAATTCTATTTTGGACATCATCGACTTTATTGTCAACAAACTCAAGCCTGTTTGTTACTTCGGCAACGTTGTTTTCAACACCATCAACTTTGTTTTCAACACCACCAACTCTGATTTCAACATCATCAAGTCTGTTTTCAACACCATCAACTCTGTTTTCAACATCATCAACTTTGTTTTCAACACCACAAACTCTGTTTTCAACACCACCAACTGTGTTTTCAACACCACCAACTCTGTTTTCAACATCATGAACTTTGTTTTCAACACCACAAACTCTGTTTTCAACTTCATCAACTTTATTTTCAGCATCATCAATTCTGTTTTCAACATCATCAACTCTGTTTTCAACACCACCAACTTTGTTTTCAACACTACCAACTCTGTTTTCAACATCATCAACTTGTTTTACAACATCCTCAACTCTGTCTTCGACATCATCGACTCTTTTTTCAACATCACCAATGTTTTCCATCTGCTTAAATTTGTCCTCCAAAGTCTTCCAGCACTTTTCCACACCATCCTCCAGTAATTTCAGGTCTTGTTGAACCAGCTGAAGCAAATGTTGATCTACTGGTGAGTTCATGCAGAGGTGAGTTCCTTGAAAACAATGAAAACAAAAATTGATGAGGAAAAAAATCCTGTTTGAGAAAAGTTACAGTGTCGTTTTTAATCAGATCAGACTAAGTAGGAAACTGTTTTGGAAATTTTCTTTTTTCCAAACTTCGTTCTTCAATTGTAAACAAATGTTTGGCTAGTATTGCTCACAATTTTAGTGAATAGTTCATCCATAAAATGAATGGCTTAAGGCCGCAGGAGCCACCAATCTAAAGTATGAATAAATTCATAGGGCAAACCGCTGCTTAGGTGGAGTAATCCGCCTGCCCATATAATCTCTCATTTTAATTTGATCACGTTTACATGATAGGTGGGGTGACTCGCCAAGGCGGGTAGCCCGGTCTGCCAGACCGGGTTACCCTCTCAGGCGGAGTCAAATTTTGCCATGTAAACGTTTCCGGGTGGGGTAACCCTTCTAGCCGGGGTCGGACTCGTGATATATCAAATTCTCGCAAAATTCACTTTGACGGTGGCTATGAATCATTGTTAAAGGTAACAATAGAAAGCCACAGTACTGAAGGTTGCAGCAATAACAACAAGTGAATATAAAAAATGGCGAGTTTTTGGTTGGTTTTTAGCGCGAAAAACCCAGCGAAATCCGTTAAAGTTGCTTTAATCGAAAGTAAGAATGTTGTTTTAATGTTTCTTGATATTTAAATCCGGTGGTGCCCTCATCAATTGGTTACGAGTAACTCACAATCAGAGACAAAAACTCTCAATGTCGCTTCAGTCCTATTATTCCGCCATATTGTAAAGACCAAATCGTGGCTCGAACGCGGCTCTGGTCTGTTAAATTCCCGGATGAAAATGAAATGCGCATGGCCTTTGAGCGAGTAGGTCGCGCTATTTTTGAGCTCTAGTTCGGTGTAAATCTCTGTTAAATTTCTATTACTAAAACCTAAAGCAAAGCGGAAGAAAACGATGGATAAACTTGGAAAAGAAAACGAAAAGTTGAGAACCGATTTACAAGCGACCAAAGAGGAGGTTGAGAAGCTTTCGAAGCTTGTAACTGGTAAATCGCAAGATGACCCCTTATCGTGTCCTCTTTCACCTGGGCAAAGTATATCTGTTGACTTTATAAGGAGTCAGTACGATGGAATCATGGAACAGCTACAGTCAATCAAGGCCAAATTGAATGGTTTAGACCACAGATGCAATTAATTACGTCTTGCTATTGATGAAATGCAGGCTTACAGCTATCAGTATAACATCAAAATCTTTGCCTTACCTACTTTCGCGGAGCGAGAGAACTCAGAGTCGACGGCTAAATTATGTATACAGTTGTTCCACTCAATGGGAGTGAAGGATGTTTGTATGCAAGATATGGACATAGCCCACCGCGTTCCTGCTCGTAAAGCTTCAAGTCGACCGAACCCCATAATTTCCAAATTTGTTAGGAGATAAGTCAAAGAAAGAGTGATGGCGGCAGAGGTTTTCAAAGTCGCCCCGAGTCAGTTGGGTTACGGCGTTGAAGTGTCATTGTCACGGCTTGGTATTTACGATCACTTACAAAAAAGGTTCAACAAGCCAAGGGCTTTAAATTCTCGTGGGCAAAGCAAGGTCAAAAATTCCTCAGGATGACAGATACCTCGCGCATTCATAAACTGAACACTTTTCAGGATCTTCAGTCTTTGCAAACCGGTGAGGAGTAGACTAGAACAATCTAAACAGCTAAGTATCTTAGCTCTTACAATAGTTGTTTGTTCCTATGGTTAATTATATTTATGCCTTGATTTGCGTATGACAAAAACAAAAAGAAATAAGCAACATGAAAAGGCCCCGAGAAGCCTTTCGAAAGAACTGCCTTACTTTAATTGTAAAGGAAACTTAACGGACTTTCATGGACGTTTTAATAACTTACTCCAAAGCAATGTACTTTCAAAAAGATATCTTGATAAGCTAACTAGCTTATATGAATTAGATTTATTTAAGTTAAATACCGTATGTGACAGAGATGTTAATACAACTGATAATTTATATAATCAGCACATTCATAGCCACTATTTTTCGCCACATAGCTTCAAGGAGCAAAAAGAATATGTGATTGAGAACGATGACGACTCCTTTTCAATATTTCATAATAATCTGATTAGTCTCAGTAAGAACTTTGAAAACCTTCAAAGTTCTATTTTAGACGAACTGAGTTTTAACTTCAATATCATAGGAATAACAGAAACTAAAATTAAAGATTCTAACTCGGAAAGCGCCGAATTCTCCTTGCCTGGTTTTGAATTTGAATCTGTCCCAACGCCTCTAGCTTTCATTTCAATATTTATTGATCCATTATTACTGCAATTCAGTCTAATATGGATAAACTTTTATTTACCTGTGGAATTTTTATTGACTTAAAGAAAGCCTTCGATACAGTTAACCACCAAATTCTTCTAAATAAGTTATATCATTATGGTTTTCGTGGAATAATTAATAACTGGTTTGAATCCTTTTTGTGCAACAGGTCGCAAACACTAGAAATTAACAACCAAATATCTGATACAGCTCTGATATCTAATGGTGTTCCACAGGGGTCTGTACTAGGTCCGTTACTTTTCCTCTTATATTTAACAATTATTCGCCGAAGGCGAAGTTAATATTGTTGAATAATTATTCAACAATATTAACTGAGCCTGAGGTGAATAATTGTTTTAGTATATTCACACGAAGTGATCTAAACAGAATCAGAAAGGAAACCATTAAAAAACGATTAGTTTGATTGACGGGTGAAAATTCATGCGTGAACACGAAGCCGTAAACAGTGGATGCGCAAAAGTTAGATCTTTACAGTATCTTCAAACATGGCAAATGATAGTTTTAATCCTTTTGTATCGAGTTTTGTAAGCTTTAGCATCAACGGTTTAAAAGAAAACGCCGAAAATTTAAATTACTACCCAATTCTGAGAAGAAAAGTATCTAGAGCTTTATTTGTTTCTGTCAACTCACCGTGAATGAGAAAGTTTTCTTCGTCGCTTCTTGCAAATGCTGTCAACAGCGGCTGCGATCAAGGTGAGCGTTGTTTATCTCCAAAGTTCTTTGCCTTGTTAACTTGCTGGCACGTACAATTTTCGAAAATATTTGCCTTCCTCTCTTCTCCATAAATTAACTTCTATTTATAGGCAAAATTGGTCTTGCGAGAAAATCCCGAAATCACAAAACAGTGACAAAGCGACCTCGTTTTCCTCTGAAGTGGTAAACATAGCTTCGAGCGTACAAAAAGTCAGCTAAAGTAAACCACTTCACAATAAATCACGCTGTTTAAACACCATGAAGTCCTTTCTTGCCTTCAAAGTCATCAGCACTTGGATATTCGTGTATTTTCAAAAAGGTTTTACTTTGAAACTTTGGCAAAACACCCAGTTCACGACAGCGATTTTGTTCGGCTTTATATTCACCGCCTAGCGCGGTGAATATAACGTCATAGTCCGAGATAGCTAACCAATCAGATTGCTTGAATTACCAAGATCACTGAGTGTGTATATACTAAATTAACCATATTCATACTTACTCTGGTACTTTTCATCTCTACGTCTTTGCTGATGATACCAACATACAGCTATACTGCATACTAACAAGAATCTAAGGTCACTTGAGACAACAGTAAATTCTGAGCTTAAAAAGTTGTATCATTGGCTGGTCTCAAAAAATTTAACCCTTAATACTAAAAAAAAACAATTTTTTATTTTTCATCCTTACCAGAAGTCTGTTGACTACCTTCCCCAACTTACGATCTTCGATGCTGATACCAATCGATACGTTAGTTTAGAAATGAAACATTATGTTAAATATTTGGGCATTTTGTTTGACAAACATCTCTCGTGGAAAATACACATTGACAATGTAGCTACTAAATTAAGTAAAACGGTTGGTTTAATCGCTAAATTGAGGCACCTTGTTCCTCAACATACCTTGCTAAATATTTACCGTGCGTTAATCTTGCCTTATTTATCCTATGGTTTTATAGTTTGGCGACAGGAGTCAAAAACACATTAAACAAAAATCTTATTGCTTCAGAAAAAAGTTCTCCGTTTCATATTTTTGGCCAACAGGAATGTTCATGCCATTCCTCTTTTTATTCATGCAAATATCCTGCCAATTAGTTTTCTCTATTTTAAGTCCGTATCGTACCTAATGCATGATATCCATACTAATTCTGCACCCTCAACAATCATTAATTTGTTCTCGTAGACATCGTCTATTCATGCATATAACACAAGATCATCCTCTAAAAATAATATATACATCAAAAAATTTAGTCTTGAACAACTAAGACAAGCCATCCCAATTTTTGGCGCGAAATTATGGAATGAGATACCAGGTAGAATGAGAGATATGTCAAAAAAAGTGTTCAAACGAAAATTAATCAGTGTACTCTTCGAAATATTAAAAGACAAAGATGATTACCTTGATGCAACCATGATAACACGAGAAATAATATCGCGAAATCCTAAACCTTAACTTCTTTCACAGGTTGCATTAAACAGATCTGTCTTTCTTACTTTTGAATTTATTACATATATTTCTTCCTTTCTTTTTCTTTGCTTTTTACTTATTATCTGTAATATCTGATTTGTAATAGAATTAATTTGGCACGCCTCGACTAGCGTTTTCTTGCTAACTGCGTGCCAAAAAATTCTACTTGCAATATTATGATAATAAATATCTTGTCTTGTCTTGGATGCGACCGTTTATTCTACGCAACGTTTTGCAAAAATGTTGGGAGTCAATTGATTTTGCAGAACAATATATACATGAATATAATTGATTATCAATAACGGACACAAATTGTAAGAAGGGAAAAGGACCGTTCAGGTGAGTAAGGCCAAGTCTGTAGCGATCGAAAATGATCTCGAAGGAAACAAGAAGAATTCTCGCTTCTTGTAATTGTGGAAAGCGTTGAAAAAACTTAGTCCCAGTAGTAACGTAAAATCAATGCCAAACGACTTGATGGCTTCTCGGGATCAAGCAAATCAATTTAACAAGCATTTCGTCTCCATCGCGTCATCTCTTGTCGGCAATAACCAACCTGCTATTCCGATCCTGACATATCACACATTGAGAGCTTTGTAAACGACAGAAAACCATCTACTGCAAATTTTGAAATCCCACCTCTCGATGTCAATTCTTTGGATAAATTAATCAAATCACTTCCTACAAATGTTGCTACGGGACTCGATGGAATAAGTACTCCTTTACTAAGGCTTGCATCTCCCCGGCTATTCTTGAAAGCAAGGCAAAGAAAGCACTGTACGTAAGTTATTCTCTAAAGTCTCACCAGGGTTTTTAATTGTAGCATTCAGTCAGGTATCTGCCCTTCCGCCCTCAAACTAGCACGTGTTACGCTCGCTCATAAATCTGGACGAGCTTCTGATCCGAACAATTTTCGTTCGATTTCTGTTCTTCCAATTATTTCTAAGCTGCTTGAAAGACACATATGTACTCATTTAATGCTGTACCTTCGCTCGTTTAATCTTATTGTTTCAACACAATCTGGATTTTGTCCTCACCACTCAACTGAGTCTATATTGATTAAAATGACTGATGACTGGCTGAGGCAATGGATCAAGGTTTACACACTGGTGCGATATTTTCAAATTTACGCAAGGCCTTTGATGGTGTAAATCATGACCTGTTAGTAGACAAACTACAATTGTATGGTTGCTCCTCGTCAGCAGTACTGTGGTTCAAAAGCTACCTGTCAGACCATCGACAGTGTATTAACATTCCAGGAACCTTATCTGATACTGAAGTTTTGAGTTCTGGAGTTCCTCAGCGCTCGATTTTAGGCCCTATCCTCTTCCTCCTATTTATCATCGACCTGCCCTTAACCTGGAAGAATAGAAATGGCTTATTTGCTGATGATGCTACTTTCTATGCTAGCGCCTCAACTCTGACTGATGTTCAGGTACAACTTCAGCGGGATCTTTCTAATACGGCGACATGGACTAATGATCATGGCATGGCTACCCATCCTCAAAAGACAAAAGACATGATAACTGGTACTCGTCAAATGCTTTCCCGCTGCGAAGAATGTGCCCTCTCGCTGTGTTTGGATGATAGACAGCTTGAGCAAACTCAAGAGGAACGTCTCTTGGGACTGGATATCGACCCCTCCCTATCTTGGTCATACCACGTAGCTAATCTCGGGAAAAAAACTCTGAAAGCGCGTTGCTGCTGTGGCTCGCATTAAAAAAATTCTTACCAGTTAGATATCGCATCATTTTATTTAATGCCAGTATTAAACCTATTCTTGAGTACTGTGTCTCCGTTTGGGTAAGTTGTAATGAAGAATCATTGGATGAGATTTATAAAGTTCAAAGGAGATGTGCGCGTATTATACTAGATGCTCCGTTTCAGGCTAGAACCCTGCCGCTCTTTCTGGAACTTGAGTGGCTACCCATCAATCCAATCGGTATTGAAAGAAGACTATTTCTGCTCCAAAAAATACTGGATGGACGCGCACTGGATTATCGCTTCCTTCCTACCACGTACCAATAACATGAAGCGAATGTTCTTTTACAAAGCAGTTGAAATGTGGAATAATATCAGCGACAATAATTTAGTCCGATCTTCTGATGTAAAGAAGTTCAAAAGAAATTACTTTGATTCAGTCATGTGTAAATTCACGCCTCACAGTTTTAAAATTGACATAATTTTTTTCGCTTTTTAAATCACTTAATATTTTAATAATTTATTATCTTAAAGTACTTGTTTACGTTTTTACTCATATGTATCTTCGAGTAAATTCTCGCCTGAGAGTTTTTACATTTGACCGAAATTTTTTTAGCTTTCTTAAACTTAAGATTTAAATTATTTATTACCTTGATATTTTAATTTTTAAGGCCGATTTTAGGATTTTAGTAGTTTCACAGTGCCATAAGGGAGACTACAGTGCGACTGTAATTATGCACCCTATTGAAATAAAGTGTATCTATCTATCTACTCACTCAAGATTTTGGTGTCGAAAATTTTGAAGAACACGGCGATTGCTTCAGCCGAGGTGAACGA